CCAGCACTACACAGACAAGCTCTGATGTGCATGCCCGTAATCTCAGGGGCATAGAGAAACACAGGCGGGAGGATGAGAACTTCAAAACCGTCCTTGCCTAGGTAGTAGTGATTTTGAGACCAGTCTGAGGATATAAGACTGTGCCTCAAAACACACACACACACACACACACACACACACACACACACACACACACACACACACACACACACCGAAAGAACCATGTATAGCCCTAACTTTAGAGAAATGAGGATGCTTTTTAAAAATGCAAATAAGCCAGGTGGTGGTGGCGCACGCCTTTAATCCCAGCACTGGGGAGGCAAAGCCAGGCGGATCTCTGTGAGTTCAAGGTCAGCCTGGGCTACAGAGTGAGATCCAGGACAGGCACCAAAACTACACAGAGAAATCCTGTCTCCAACCACCCACACACACCAAAAACAATGCAAACAACAGGCTTACATTACAAACATTTGTGGTTTCTGTGCTCAGAAGCAATCCAGAAATATTCTGAGTTGATAACTAGTTCTCCTACTCTGAATTTTAAAAGAAAATTACAAATAAGACTCAATTACCAACCAATCTTAAATCATTTTCAAATAAATGCTATTATAAATGATGTGACTAAATACTGTTATGAAAAACAACTAAGTAATATGGTGGCTTTAAATATATTTGTCTTCTCACTTCATTTTGCTACAGAAGTGGTGTGTCTGAGTGGTCTTATATTTTTATCTAATTGAAAATTTAAAATTAGGCAAATTAGGCCTTTTAAAGTCTTTTAAATAAAAAAGACTTAAGTTAAGCAAGTTACTCAATAGGGCCCAACTTTAACAAGAAACTAAGGTGCTTACTTAGATATGTAGTTACCACTGTCTGCCCTTTCTCCTACAAAACTAGAGTGTGAGTAAAATAAAATGTGAGCCGGGCAGTGGTGGCGCACGCCTGTAATCCCAGTGCTCGGGAGGCAGAGACAGGCGGATCTCTGTGAGTTCAAGGCCAGCCTGGGCTACAGAGTGAGATCCAGGACAGACTCCAAAGCTACACAGAGAAACCCTGTCTCAAAAAAACAAAATAAATAAATAAATAAAAAATCAAGTGTGGAAGCATGGGTTAGACAGTTCTGGAACACATCTTGCACACAAATGTCATGATCACAGTGATCTTTGTGAGGATCCTGAGGACTGACCCTAGGGATTTGTAAAAGCTGTGCAGTGTTGTCTCCCTGAGCCACAGTCCCAGTCCCTCTGCGACCCGTGTAACAGACTGTCCTGCATCCCCATCTGGTGTGGGGCGTTTAAACCTCACGTTTTCAGTCGGGTCAGCCTTCAGCCACAGTTAGGCTCCTGATCGTTCCCTGTAGGTGTTTTCACCAAGCACAGCACCCCTGCTCAAAGGAAGCAGTAGCGAGCAGTCCTAGAAGACGCTGTGCCTCTTAAGAACGGGAACTGACTTGTACATCTGAGTGAGGTGGAACTCTTCTAGTTATAAAAGTGCCCCCACTGCAGGGCGTCCTCATATCTGCCGTGTCTGCTCCTCTCCTGCCAAAAGACCGTCCAGCGTCTGTCTCCTTGGGCTCCTAGGAGCTGTGTCTGTTCTGTGGGATTCCTGACATACTGACACGGTTCTAAATCTGTCTACTGATACTAGGGAGATCAGTGTGTGTATAGTTTCCACTATTGAAGCCTTGGCCTACTGTGTGACTTTGTAATTTAGGTGCCTGTGTTCCTTTCCTGTTTCTGACATAAAGTACCCTGAGGAAAAAACCCTAAGGGAGAAAGGCTGGTGTTGGCTCACAGTTCAAGACACCGTCCATCGGGTGGAGAAGTCAACGCAGCAGGAGCCGGAAGCAACTGGTCGACCTCATCTACAGTCCAGTGGAGGACAAAGAGCAGGTGCTACCGTTTTCTCCTGCACAGCCGGGCAGTGGTTCTGCTCCCAACAGTGGTGTATCTTCTACCTCAGTTAACACTATCAGAGGATTCTGAAAGGCATGCCCAGAGGCCCATCTCCCAGGTGATTCTGGGTTGTGTCACACTGATGATGCCATCCCACCAACTAGGACTTTTCACTGGTCCTCTGCCTTGTGTAACAGATACACAGAGATGAGTATGTGGCATGTGCTGTGCGTGAGAGACAAAAAGATCACTGAGACCTGTGTATGGGGAGGTGACATTGAGGAGGCCTACTCTGGCATACAAGTAGTCATAAAGCAAGCCGTTATGGCACAAGAGAGGCATCTTGGTGTACACTGCAGTCTGGAGAGGGTTATAAGTATGTAGGTGATGTAACTCGCAAGAGTGAAGGGTGCCCCAGACAAAGGTCAGAACTGCAGTCCAGTCCAGTGTAGTGGATCATGACTAATCCTAGCACTCAGGTAAGGCCAGCCTGGGCTACAGAGTATGCCCTACTCCTTAGCCGTACCCACACCCCCCAAAACAGTATGATGAAAGAGAATGAGCTGGGTCAGGGATGAGTCAGCCTGCAGTGTTGAAGACAGGATTGGATTCAGCTGAAGCCCTTAAGTGAAATGTCTGCCAGTGCTCTTTCTCTGAGCTCATGGGTGAATTTAGGTAAATCTCCGAACCTTTTTGCACGCCATGCCATCTATAAAATGGGAATAGCACACACTGACTATTGTCTTACTTGTTTAGGCCGGTATTTTTTAAAGTACAAGTCTCAGCTCGTTTCTCCAGTTAAGGCAGCTTAATGGTTTAATGCATTGTATCCGCATTAAATAAAAAAGAAAAAGGAAACTGTACCGCATGTGTTAATTGGTGCTTTAGTTTCATGAAAGTTCTGTGTATGTAGTTTGCATTCTATTTATAAGTCTTCAAGGGTAAAGATTGTGGGTTTTCTCTCTCCTCTTCATCTAGAAAAATACCTGCTATGTTGGGGTAGTTTTATCTACTTATTGAAAGAGTGAATGCAAGAATACGTACACGCCCCCAACCTTGGTTGCAGAGTAAAATAAAAATTTCTCCACCTTGTTTTTGAAATAGGGTCTGCTGCTGACGCTGGAGCTCACTGATTTTGTTAGACTGACCAGCAAGCCCCAGGGATCCTCCTTTTAAGTTCTGGGGTTACAGTGCCGGCCAGGCTTTTATGTGGGTGCTGGGGGTTGAACTTAGGTCCACATGCTTGTGGTTTACAATTTGAGCCATCTCCCTAGCTCCTAAAAAGATGTTTTTGTATATGTGTGTTTTGTTTTTCTGAGACACGGAAAATAAAATTTGAATACTTGAGATGACAAATACTTGAGATGACAGTACTTTTTATGATGAAAGAATAAAACCAAAAGGCCTCAGTGATTTTAAAGGCAGTTTGGTTGGTTGTTTTGTTTTTTCTCCCACCCCTGAATCTGTGAGCTATTTTATTAAATCATCTCAATTCTTTGCTTTGCTTTGGCAAGAGAAAGTTCTATGAGTTCAAAGCCCACTTAGGCAAGGGCTTTGACAAGATTCTGAGAACAGAAGATGAACAGAATGGGAATTGATGGTTTGATTCGGCCCCACCCAAGAGTCCCCACCCAGAGTCCCATCAGTGAGCACAAGTCCTACTGTAACAATGTTGAAGTCAACCAGTAGTTAGGAAGTGCCTTCGCTCTTCATGTCTGTGCATAGAGCAAATAAAGGATGAACATGGACCACGAGGAGGGGGAGAACACAGTCACTGTACTAATGAGTCTAACCAGGTCGAGTACACACAGACAGATACCCTAATACCAGTGACTCTAGTGAGACAACTGAGGACATGAGCGTCGGGGGACACATGAAGGCTATATCAGAATAGCATTTGAAACTTCATTTACAAGATGAAATATTTTGAGACAAAACAACATTCAGGGTAAAGGCAATGTCTACATGGAGGCAGGAGGATGTCAGCTGTGTAGGGGTCATGGAACAACCAAAGTGCAAAATTTGGCTGGAGCACAGGTTTGTATATTTTAAAAATGACTAAATGGACAGTTCATGGGTCCATTGAACTTAGGTCATAAGGTCCTAAGTTCAATTCCCAGCACTGATATTTACAAAATGAGGCTCAGTCTAGGGTGGATTCATATTTCAGTCTTGAATTCTGGGGTGAGCTACTTTGCTTGGTGCAAAGCTGGAAGCCACTGAACATTTAGGGACATAGTCAGGTATAGAGATGAATAAACTTAGCCCACATCAGCTCTTAGAAAAGGTGAACTTGGGAGACACCAAAAGAACATGACTAATTCAGCTCACCTTTACTTCATTGATATCTGCTGTCTTTTCCATCTTGTTTTGACCCTTTCCCCCAGACTGTTCTTACCTTGCCCCTTTTATAACTATATTATCTCGTGGTTTCTTCTTTAGATAGGTTTCCAAGAGCTTTTTAAGGAAAAAGCCAGGTACTGTCAGAGGGTATTTAATCTTCACACAGCTCATGAGATAGTGAGTTAGAATTCTTAGAATTTACCCAGCACCATGTTCTTCCTAACAGTCCCATTTTTATAGGCCATGTTTCCTTTTATGGAATTTGACTCAGCTCCATCCACAGAAGTGGACCTTACATGCTACACAAACCACCATAATTCCTCATTGCCAGAGTAATAGTAGGTCCTGCCTGAGCCAGCATGCACATTTCTAGAACAGACTGGTTCAGGTGAGACTTGGGAGAGTTTGCTGGGGGGTTAGAAAAGTTCCAAGGGGTGCTCTTCACATGATGGAAGGAAGCAGTGCTGCTGGAGTCAGGCGGCCACCGTGGGTGTGGAACCAAATTAGGAGTGGAGACACCACCCTAAAGGCAGAGCAGAGGTGGCCCTCACTGGTGATGTGCCTGGGCCTGTGACTGACATGACTCAGATAACCTCAAGGTGCTGGTGGTCCTGAAATGTCTAATCTGGGATGTGACGAATTCTCATTACATTGGATTTAGGTAGGATTCTGGGATTTTTGTCACTTGTCTTATAAAGATCTTAATTCAAGGAATCTTAATTTGCTGCCATCTTAGCCACAGAGTAGGCAATGGGAATACAGAACTCCAGTTTGTTTGTTTGTTCGTTTTTTTGACCACACAATGCTGCTTCAGCGTGCGTTAGTGTGCTGTCCTTCCTAGCCACAGAACTTGTTTGCCTGTTCCTGTCTCCCTGCAGCTCAGCCTCCTCGGTACCTGCTCACCTTCCGCGATACATCCTTATAATTTCCCCACTGTGATGTGTGGAACTTTTGGTTCCATCACAAAAATACATGTATGCAAGTATTTTGAACTTCTCAAGAGAACACAGCTCATTAGCCTATAGCCTGGATGTGAATTCAGTTAGTCTCTGACTCGCTATGGCCACCACGGGGATGCAGCATGCCCGGGACACTTGGTTTGACCCCTATGGTCACATCTATGCCAATGTCATTGTCAAGTGCTGTGCTCTCCGTCCCTTAAGGACCTCTACTGCGTCTTCCGAGGCCTGTGCACTACTGGGCAACGCTGAAGCCATCAACAGTCCAGGGCCACTTTAACAGGACCCAGACGGATACCCTCATCTCCAGATGCCTGCCATCTTTTGCTCCAAAGGCTGCCCTCTCCCACTCTGGAGAAGAAAGAAACTGGAAACATGTCCTCATCCTCCTCACCTGCATCCCGCTCTGGGGCCACAAACCCTGAGATTGTAGTTACCACCTTTCCCCCTTCCTACCTTTGCCCCTACAGAACCATGCTTCTAGCTCATATGTGTGTGTGTGTGTGTGTGTGTGTGTGTGTGTGTGTGTGTGTGTGTGTGTGTGTGTGCATTGTTAAAGACCTTCCGACAGGACCCGTCCTTTTCAAGCCTGGATTAACTGTGTCCCTCCCCAGGAGACTGCTCTGTCTCTACCGCAGCTTCCCACTAAGAATGTCTAACCACTTGTCCTGGGTAGCCGCGTACTCTGGTTTTCTTAATTATTTTGACTTTCTCCTTCCTTTTTTATTGCAATGGTAGATGGTTTGCACTCTCTAAAGGCTGTTTGTCTACCTTTGCCTTCTCTTGGCTTACATCTCATCTCACCCCTCTGCTTCCCACCTAACACATTCCAAGAGTGGTCTGTGCTGGCTGCCACTGCTTCTCTTCTAGTCTGGAACCCACCCAGCTCAAACTGACACGGATTCACTGAAATTTGTAAAAGCTCCATTCCCCAAGGCCAGCAGTAAACTTTGGTGTGTTGCTTCTGCTCTCTGTAGCATCAGGTGCTACCGATCATCCGGAACCATGGTTACGCTCTCAGGGTTCCTCTTGCCTTAGCAGCCACGCCTTCTGTTCCCTCGGTGGCCAGCTTCTCTTTCCAAGTGCAGCATAGTGGAATGTCCTTGAAGATGAGCTTTTAAAAAAGTCTCTTGCCTACCTTCATCCTGTGTTAGTCTGTCCAGAAACATGGCTTTGGGCGCTATCCTTTGATTACTTTTCAAGTTGTATCACTATTACTGACATCTCCCCTTGTGGTTAGTCTCTCAAGTGGATCTCGGTCTGTACGGATGCACTCGAGGGAGTGCAGCAAAGAATCCGCCCACATGGCTGCTCCATTATCGGGAGAAAGGTTCTTATTGTGAATAAGAGAAGTTATCCAGAGGCACCTGGAAGAGTCCAGAGCAGTGAGAAAGAGCAGTAGACTGGTCCTAGCCAGAGCTATCTGTGAGAGATAACAGAGGACGAGAGAGCGTAGGGTGGACAAGTCACATGGATTATAAGAACCAGAGGAGGGACTCCTGGGGACGGAAAACCATCTCACAAGTTCCTGAGAAGTGCTGGCTTCATCTAACTGCCAGAAATCCTTCTACAGTCCAGCTTGAACTCATTTCTAGATACCTGCACACCCCGAGACCTACCAATGCATGTGCCACTGTCCTTATGGTGGGTGGGCCCTCTTCACTATCTGACTTCTCACAAACAGTATGGCAGAGAGCAGGATATCTGAGACCGGGCTTAGCCTTTAAGAGGCCAGGTAACTTCTGCTATTGTCCTGTATTGAGAAGCCAGGGAGGAGTCTGACTCCCTGTGGCCTGTAGTATGAGGAAGCCTAAGCCAAGTACATGAAGAGCCCCATGGAGCACTGGCCTAGTTAGGGTCACTATTGCTATGACAAACACCATGGCCAAAGTGACTTGGGGAGGACAGGGTTCATTTGGCTTCCACTTCCACATCAGAGTCCATCATCAGAGGAAGTCAGGACAGGAACTCAAACAGGGCAGGAACCTGGAGGCAGGAGCTGACGCAGAGGCCATGGAGAGGTGCTGCTTAATGGCTTGCTCAATAGAACCCAGGGCCACCAGCCCAGGGATGGCACCACCCACAATGGGCAAGGCCCTTCCACATCAATCACTGATTAAGAAAATGCCCCACAGCTGGATCTTATGGAGACATTTTCTCAGTTGAGATTCCCTCCTTTCAGATGACTCTAGCCTGTGTTAAGTTGACATAAAACTAGCTAGCACAAGCACCAAGCGACCAGATAGTGATAATAAGTGACGCTATTGTGAGACCAAAATGAGCCATCTTAGAAATGCTTTCAC